ACCTTTCCTAAAGCATGAGGTCAGCATCAAGAACTGCAGTTGAGCACTTTCCCTTCCCCTGTCATTCTATGCATTGTAAAGTACATCTGAACTCATGCCTGGAAGGATATTGTGGACACTAAGCTTGTAAAAACATGCCTGTTTATCACTGTTTACAGACGGTTTCATCTTTGCTTGGGGAGGTGGGGGGAAAGGAGGCACAACACAGGGATGTAACTGGAAGCTAGGCCAAGCCAGTGCTTCCATGGGATACTGCTAAGGGTCTGAGGAAGCAGTTCAGTAAGGAGTACTCTTTTTAGCTGGATGAACCAGCTAGTGTCCCTCAATGAGCAGGGTATAATAATCTGAATGGCTGTATTTTCTCACATAGCGCTCAAAAGCCCTGATGAGGGAACACACTCAGAGACCAACTTAGATAATGTTACCACCACAGCCAATGGCCTTTAAAGAGCCTGGGACCTGAAGAATTTCCACTTTAAGTGATTACACTCTCCTCCTTTTCCAAGCTGTTTTAGCTAGATACAAAGTTGCTACCCTTCATTTCCAGCCCTTAACTTAGTTACTAAATGTTTGTGGCACCATTTTAGTGAGTGAATCCCTAGTCTCCCTCCAAGTCTCAAATAAGTAAATGGCAAGTACTTTTAAAGTCCTCTCAGGAAATGGAGGGTAGGATATATTTAAAGAAACAAACAAACAAAACCTCACATGTCTATGGTGTGCTTAAATTGCTCAAGGAATGCGAACAGAAAGAGACCCATACATTTTGGTTCTAATTCCAAGCTGTACCATTACTAAATGCACATGCATCCAATAAACAGTTGTCTGGTAATCTACAGCATATATGCAGGGCAATTCTTATATTTCTAGTGGAATCTGTCCATACCATTACATTCACCCACAATTAGCATTAGATACTCTTTCTGATGTTAAAGTTGCTGAGAACTGACTGGCCTGGTTCCCTTCTTACTGCTGTCAGTCATTCACTAGCACAAAATTCCTTCTGTACCAACTTTCTTTAGGAGAGTCTTTATGACTCAATCTAATCACGCTTCTATCTGGGAAGGTGAGATTCTTGGTTTGATTGGACAGGAATGACAAGACTCCAACAAGAAAAAATTAAGACCGACAATTCTAAACTTTAAGAATATGGGCAGCAGATTGGAGAATCACTCCAGGGTGGCAAGCCAGGCACACTCTAGAACTCATCATCAGAAGGAAGATGGGGAGGAGATAAGTGCAACTGTGGGAGTGCAAGATGTTTTGATAAATCAATTTCCAGCTCTGTGAGGATAATGAAGTCCCGTGCCTCAAGGGCAAGATTATCAAAAGGGTCCTGAACTCTTCTTCCCCTTGCACGGTACTGTACAAGCAGCTGAATGCATGATGGGTTAAGATATTATTTTCCTCTAAAGCACCATGTATCAGTCACTCACAAAGACATGGTCCTCAACTAGTTGGATCACTGTTCTGATGCAATGACAAAGCACAGTCTTGCTAGATGGTTTTCTGAAAAGTTTTAATTTGTATATCTTAGACGCATGTTCAGTTGAACATTTTGTCATGTAATCTTCCTGAAAATGGAGTCCAAATAGAACAAATTAAGTGTGGCCTTTGAAAGCAAAAACACTGGATTGCAGGGCCATGCTGGCAGGAGTGGCAAACTGGGAACTGAATCTCCAAACACCCTTCAGTCCTTGACCGTTGCTGGAAATACTGAGCAGTGCTAGCCATGGCACAAACTAATTGAGACCATCAACCTAGTTCCCACTAAATATTGAACAGCTTCACATGAGAATGATTAAATTGTTATTGATAGGGGGGCTGGACTGAAATCAAGGTCCAGGACGTGAGACACTATACTCCATTTCACTTCTCAATGGTACGGCCTATAGATTTGGCCCCCATAGGTAAAAATCAACACCTACAACTTTTCCAATTCTAAAATGTTCCATTATACTACCGAGGAACAGTAATGAACAAACTTAGTAGAAAGCCACCAACAGCAGCCAACTAGGACAACACTGTCCTCCATTACTTATAGAGGGGGTGGCTCCCAGTATCCTTGCCATTTAAGTTGTTAGCCAAGTTCTCATTTCATAAGTGGTACAAGTTAGTTTCCTCTTGTATACAGCCAGTAGGCTGGTTTCCCTACTTCTTTCTGTCTTGAAGTGTTTGCCTGCACACACAACTTCTACATGCATTTGAGCGTTTCAGTTGGAAACAAACAACACTAGTATGAAGACCATTATATCCATGTAACTGCATTCATACCAGGAGTTTGTACTAATTTCCTTACTACAATTTCCCTTTTTTTATTGCATATCTGACTACATGTGAGCTTTGCTGTTTATATTCTAACAGTTTAGTTAAGGAGTGCAACCCAATTAGTGTGAATGCAGTTACTCTGTTAGGGAGGCACTTATATTGGCATAAAACAAACTTTGTAGCAATAAAACCACATCCACACCAGCTGTACCAGCACATCATTTTAATAAAAAACAAAGCCTCTAACTGAAACAGTTGCGCCAATATAAAACTAGTGAAAAGGGTCTTCTTAGTTAAATGAAAGCCAAAGTAGTGTTTAGACAAGCTCTAACACCCTGAACACTAAGAAAGGAAGTGCTCAAGACACCCTCATTCAAGACATGCCTGGGGTGTTAAGTCCAGGACATCAATGAAAAGGCTTTAAGGATATATCTGTGCTAGCATACTGCACTTGCAAAGTGCTAATGATGTGCATGCAGCCTGTATCAACAAAACACTACTTTGGACAGTAAATTCAGTTTCACCACTGCAAATAACATATACCAACAAAAGCATGGCTTAACTGATACAGGTTGAGTTCACTCTAGTGGTTTTTCCCAGCACCACTATACTGATCACAAAGAAAAAAAAAAAAAAATCACACATTGCTACATATCTAACCAAAGCCATACCAACAAGTCTGTTGTGCGCACCTGTCCCACATGTGCTAAGGAGGACTACCTGCTTTCTTCCATTAGAATTTTAAGGCAGAAATAATAGAGTGCCTGGCTCACAGGGCTGATGAGTCTGAATGCAAGACATAATGCTCTTCATGTAAAAGCTTTACCAGCTACATAGTTGGTCCAATAAAAGATACCAACACACGACATGCTGGCTTCTCATATAATTAATTACAACATCACTCTTAGACTACCATGAAGAACATAACATTCAAATACCTCAGAATCAGGGCATGCATCTGGGAAAGCTTCTTACCATCAGATTTACTGAGACTACACTGGTGAGATGTGTGGAGAGTTAACTGATGAAGTACTGTCTTCTTGAGTCTGCCATGGCCTGATGAATAACATTGAGAATGAATCATCCAGCCCATTCATCTTAATGAGGCATTGACACTAGTACTCGCATTGTTTTACTATCTTTAATTGTTGGAAATATTTAGGTTTATAAGCAACTTGGATAGAGAAGCTGTGGAAGAGAAGACTAACAGGGGCATGGTACCATGGTAAATTGGAAGTTGTTGCAGTGAAAAGAATACACAGACTTGCTCTACACTATGAAGTTGTCAGCATATACCAGCTTCAGGGACCTAAATGTGACACCCAGCAAACAGCAGATCCCAGCTATGGCAGTAGGTCCCATGGTGTGGGCACAACTACACAGACAAAAGACAACTTTTCTTTGCTTTGAATATGTTGTCTGGGGAGGTGCTGTAACTATGTTGTCAGAAAAACCTGTTCTGTCAGCAAATGCTGTATCTTCAGTTATGGGCTCTGCTATGCCAGCAAAAGCTCTAAAGTACAGACAAGTCCTACATGATTTACCAAAAGTCACAGGAAGACAGTGGACAATGTGGGATATAGAACCTAGACCAGATTCAACCTGACTTCACCATGCCCTCGTCCAGTGTTTCAGACTTCTAATTCAATGCCGCTGTTCAGTCAGTTTATATCACTTTGTTGCTATAAACTGTCTTCAAACTTCATCACTGAAGTAGGGTACATCCGGGTTTTCTTCTTTTTGAAGTAAAACTGATTACTCAGAATACTTCCATTTCTAGCCCACATTTATAAAGATGAGCACTAGTAACAATTCCCCCATGAATTCTCTATAGGCAGATAAGGGATAGAGCAGCAACTGAGACAGCAAGAAGACTGACCCCACACACTCACTGGTTTTCTATCTATAGGAAACTTAAACTCAGATATAAACAAACCACTCCACCCTTGATGATTTTGTTTCATAGCATTAAAGGATGAGTTAACAATAACAGCCAACAACCTTGAGGCTTAGGGAAGAGAGAAAGATCAAGTACAACTCAGGGAAACTCCATCACAACTTGAAGTATCATACTATCCAGAGCAGCCTGAACTCTCTTTCCTCCACTAGCTAACACTACTTTTCCCACGTAGTGAAATTAATTTTAAGACAACAAGTCTTCTACCCTTTGGCCCATTACAGGAACTCTATCCCACTCAGAGACACCATCAATATAATCTCAGACTCTCTTTAAGAGAATAGCAACACTTATTTAAAAAAAAAAAAAAGAAGATACATACAAACACACAACTTCAACCTGAAAGAGCGAATCCAGTTTCCTCAGATTCAGAAGTATATTTAAGTCAGTACTAGGCCAGTGTAATACCAACACAAAGCTATCCTAGAGTACCATACACAGCTTTTCAATACCTTTTCCTGTTTGCCCTAAACACCACCAGGAGAGGCAGCTACATCACAACTGACATCTAAACCAGCTTATTTCTGTCCACAAGCATCTCAAAGCAGCTTCTTTTTTCTTTTTTTGAAACTCAGATAACTAAATCCAGGAAGGATAATAGTAACTTTGTTTCTAACTTCCTTCTACAGCCTTTAATGATATAACATCACAGCGAGGATGCTTGAAGCCGCTAAGCCTCATCACTCCATAGGGCACTAACAGCCTGCTCCTAACATAAAGCCTTAATTACCTGAAGACCAACACCAAATATGTGATAGGCAAGGAAAAAAGGACTGACCAGTCTTTGGCTGTAACGAATTCTCTCTTCCTCAGGCTCCATCTCTGACTCTTCCGAAGAGAGCGAGAAAGACACTCCAGGGCTGCTGTCTTCTTCCTCTTCCTCCTTTAAAAAATATAAGGAATAATGATGGCACGCACGATAAACTCTCCTTTAAACTTTTATTCACTTAGGAATGATTCTGTAACACTATGCAATACCATGTACAATGGGTGAGGGAATACAATGGACTAATCCTTTCACCTTAACTCTGTTTCCAATTCAGCCTCAGGTGCCTAGCAATGTTATTACTTTGATCCAACTGTTTGACAGTCTGCATGAAGTGATTTAAGTTCAGAGAAAGGCCTTCGCACTTCACATTCACCAGCATCACTGACAGTTAAGTCAGGTCCCAAACCATACTAGTTACACATCTATATTTAAACCTATTTGGTGACAGCAGGGTTGCAGCCTGCTTTCCCTTGGAGCCTTAGATCACCCGTCTGAAAACCCAAGCCAGCAATATCATGGAACAGGCTACACCTTCAGGCAGCTAGAACTGTGGCTCCTTCCAGCAACTCCAATTCAAAGTCTCTCTTCCTGCAACACCGCCCCACACTCACTCCCCACCAAACACACAGTTGCCACTCATCAGCAGGAGCTCTCCTACAAGTGTTTCAACATCACTGTGGTTGGCATGACTGATCTGATGTGGGTACACCCAAACACTCAAGATCTTGACACCTGCCACGCTGTGGCAAAATTTTATAACACAAAGTGCCCAGAACATGTAACAGCCCGGCATGATTTTTGTTCTATACTGGACAGGATGAACCCTTACAGAAATTGAGATCTACAACAAAGTTGTAAGGTTTCTGCTATCCTACATGCTTTCTGGGAAACCTCCCACTACTCAGCAAAATAAAGTAGCTCTACCACATATAGAGGTCAAGCCACTATTGATGTTTGTTATTATTAACTCTTCTCTACCCATCATGAGTAAGGTTAGATCACAAAGTGTCTAAAGTGCTACTGCTTGTTGACTCCAAGACTTCCACCGCTACTAAGGCTAGCGTCACTGTAAGCAGCTTGAACATGGTCCTCCAACAAAGTTTAGCACATGCGCACAATCAAACTATCAGGACACTAGTAACTCGCAACACAATGCCACAATGCTTGGTAAGCTTCATTGTGCAGTTGTTTCCTCACAAGCCCATACCCCAGCAGGCTCCTTACCAGAGAAGCCAAGATCCCAACTAGCCACAGAGACTTCACGCCCCACCCCTCCTCCCCAGAGGAAATCTTAGGCAAGGGCAGAGAGGAAGCTGGCCTGGTTTGCACGAGACAGACAGACAAGTGGCAGCAGCCCTGTTGATCTGGGACTGCATTCAGGACCTCAGTCTCTAGGGACCTGTCAACCGGCACCCTCCAGCAACAAGGACCTCACTTTAAATTGCATCAATTACTAAATCAGAAGGGTGAGAAAGCTGATGAAATAATTTTAACCACATCTCCTCTGCAGAACCCAGGAGGACCCCCTCTCTCCCCACCCATCTTATTGCTTGTAGAGATCAAGTATAAGGGGGTGGGAAAGAAATCCCATGGGCTTGTGCTCCCAACTCAGAACACTGACCCAGACCTTCACAACCCACTGGGTGCCCCACTCCGCCTTCCTAAAAAGAGTGTTTTGAAAACCCCTGTAATGAATGAGAGCTGTGCAACCCATGGAGATTAAACAACCCCCCATGTACAAATCCCAGCTCATCCCTTCGGAGAAAGGCAAACAGGAGCGAAGGCGAGCCGCGGGCGCCTGGTCGGAAGCCAGAACCAAATGCCTGGTTTACAGAGTTACATAAACTTGAGAGGGGCTGAGGAGGAGGGAGACCCCGAGCATTGGCGAGGGCAGGTCACCAGGCTCCTTGCGATTGGCCAAAGCGGTAGGGGGGAAGGGATACGAGGGGAAAGGAATAAAACAACATAAAATGCAATCACTCGAGCCTCTCACCAGGTCTCTTCTTTTCCTTTGTCCTCTTCTAGGGACGGGGGAAAAAAAGGCAGAAAATACAAGAGGGGGAGGAAAGAAGAAAAAAAAAATTAGATCCCACGCGTGGCCGTCTTCGCCTCCAAGGATCCTCAGTGGCCAGGAGGAGGCAAGTCCCGGGGGCGGCGG